CCCATGATTCCTTAGCACTGAGCCAGGACAATTAAAGTGTCCTCAAGCGGCATTATTTCTGGCAGTCTGTAAAGGCCCTTAGTGATAACAACTCTGTTGGCAGGATTGGCGTTCAGAAGTACAACCTGACAATCCAGGGCTGAGGGATGCACATCCATCTTGATGTTGTTGGACTGCAGGTCCCATCAGTCCTATCCAGTATGGACATTATCTTAAACTTTTAGTAGCTGATATGTTCCTGATCTGTTTATCAAGAGAGAAAAGGAGAATCAGAAATATTCCCCATTGCTACTGCCAGCCGTTGACCAGAGCCAGCAGTGAAGTTTCCCAACCTGCGTGAGAAGCAACCTGAGAATTTCCATGGGGCATTTTAGCCCACACTTACATCTCACTATTTAGCTGGTCCAGGAGGAGCTGAACAAGAACAACATTGACTTGTGAACAACCACCTAAAATTCAGAATAGTTCCAGCATCACATTTTGTGCAGATGCAGCCTGTTGTAGCTGGACCGGCTTGCTTCCTTGACAAGACTTTTGATTAGTTTTCTGGTTCTTTTAGCACATTTTCCCCAGTTGTAGCATGTTTCAGGTTCATTAAAGTCTCATGAATGGAGTTACCAGCTAAGGATGGGTATTGGGGCTGCCAAAAATCCCTGAGTTCCTTGTGAGAGTTCATTTTCTCAGCACGGAATAAAAGGGGGTGAGTAGATGGGCAGCATCTACCTGATAGTGAATTGCTGCTCCTAGAGACTCCCACAAGAGGCAATTCAGAAATGGCATTCTGAAGGAATCGGGAGCCACACAGAAAGCCTTTGTGGACCATATACATGACCAAGGCCTCATGTTGCCTGCCTCTGTTTTATGGGCCAAATGTAAAAGAAAGACTTGGGCTCCATTCTGGACACTTGAAAACATTCATCCTCTAAAGCCCCATACTGACACTGTATGGTTCTCCCCCTACATTGACTTGAAATGTTGTGCTTAAGGGGTGGGAGACACACCAGGAGGAAAATCTGAAAGAGCACTTCAGTGAGAGGTGAACTATGAACGTCTCATTCAGAGTTATGGATTTTTTGGTTGCCTACTTTTCGCGGCATTAAAGCAGTCGCAGCTAAAGTTCAATTTAAAAATAGCTCAAATGCCATCTGATTGAGCTAAGCCTACTGAAGTGAAGATTACTTGGTAGCATTATGCGTATAAATCGAGAGAAGTATATGGCCGCTCTCTTTCCGACAGGTCTCCTGTGTCTTCCTAGGAGAGGACACAATCTCATGAAGCATTCAGCCGATTCCTTGAAGTGACGGAAACTTCTTGATTAAAAGAGTAGCCCTGATTAATGAAATTGAAAAGAAAGCTCAAACTCTTGAATATATCTGTTTCAAAACTGCCAATGGGAAATGGCTTCTTAAACCAAGTATTAAAACGAGAATAAGGAATATGACACATACGTTTATTTTCCAAAGCAGGGCTGGAGCAACTCTAAATGATCTGGACCATCTTTCTTGTCCAAAGTGGAAGGAGATGGATGACCACATCCATTTATTCACAATTATTTTGTAAAACGCTGGCCTAAATCCTGTTGCAAAGGGACCTTGCAGTACCTTTGATTGAAATTGGGCGAAAGAAGTGATAGCAGGAATCTTTGTAGACTTGGTCTATTTCCTGAGGTGATGCTGTTAGTCTGAAATATAGTAGATTCACTGAATCAATTGAATTTACTTCTGGGTTGACTTACCATTTGTTGGGGATTTAGAATTTCTGGAAGAGTTAGAGAGGAGTGATACTTATCTCTCATGTTCATCCTATACATGTGTTTGACATGCTTAAGGGATGCATAACATAGTAATGGCATTAACTAGTCCTCTAGCAAATAATAATACTGTAGCTCTCAGTCGTTAAAATTCCTCAAGCAGAATGTGGAAATTCAGCTAACGCTATGGGAATAGATAAGAATGTTTCTGTCCTAGAATGCCTGGGAAACTGTTCCCTTGTAAGAATGGGGCAACCCCCCCTGCTTCATTTGTGAAAGTGTCAGCACTTTTCAGAATAAGAGAGAGGAGATATTTAAAAATCAGGCCTGATTTGGTCTTGAGGGACTGCACTTTGACTGTAATCCAGCCCAGAAACTCAGTCCATTGAGTGGCATCTAGTTCATTGCTACAACGAGTCCTGTTCCAGGAGAAAGATAAGATTTAAAACAAGGTGTGTACCACGGTTTCTCCTTTTAGTCCTCAAAGCTCTAAAGGGAGCCAGAAGCACAGAGTGGAAGGAGTTTGAGAGAGTGGGAATAGGATAGGTGCTGCCTCTGCTCCGAGGATATTTACCTGGCTACCATTTGTTGCTTGACCAGTTATGTTTGCCCAGAGGACCTCAGTCCTTGCTAAATGGAACGTGGTATTTTCAGAATTGGAACCTCATGCCACTCGTTACATGGTTCCGTGAACTTGTGTCATTGCATAGGGATGGAGATGTTTCACCGAAACCCTGGGTGCAGAAAGTTTGCCCATCAAGGTAGTGGATGAGAAAGAAGTGGGATGGGAAGAGCCTTATTTTCTTCTTCAGCAAGCAAGGACCCATTGGAAAGCCATGATGCAAGATTTTTGAGATCAAACGGAGCCGTTCTGCATTCTACTAACATAAGGCTGGCGGCTCTGCCGCGTTGCCTCTCCATAATGCAAACAAAATTGAACTGTGCCAATTCTTGTTCTTTACATCTGAAGATGGAGAGATAATCACAGCTGGGTGATAATCACAACTGGCTGGGAAATGAAATGATCTCTGAAACAAGCATCGTAAGATAGACAACATCTGCATAGATTTGGGCAGAAGGGAAACTGAAGCAGGGGAGCAGCAGAGATGGTAGCTTATTATTATTTTTTTTTTTTTGAAAAAAAAAACTTTTCTATAATAAAATATCAGCTGAATTTTGTTTTAATTTGTTGTGAGCCATCTTAGGTCTTGTGCCGGGAATAAGGTCAGTTATTAATTAATTAATGAAAATGTTTTCCCCCCTTTAGGTCAAGAAATTCAGTTTTGCCAACCTGGTTTTCTCGTCTGCCTTCTGAGAAGTTGACCCAATAATGAATCTCCTTAGTGCTATGTCTGTGCAATGCATTCAATGTTTCTTTCTTCCCTCCTGCCCCCCTACTGAGCTTTAATGTTGTACAGCTTTGGCTGGATTTCACACATATTATGAAATCCCCCGAGACTGCCGAACAAAACGCAGCCTTGCCAAGGAGACAAAGCTCCTCCGACAAAGTATTAAATAGAATGAAGCAGGAAACGGAGAGGACTTTTTGGGTCTAGGAAGCAGAACATTAGCTTTTCTTAGACAAATCCCCAAATTCAAGCATTCGTCCAGGATACCGAGCTTGGAACACCTTAGCCAGCTATTTTACTTTGACCTAAATCCAGCTGATTGAATAAAGCCCATCTATCCGTAATCATTGCCTTTGATCAATTGGCTGGGAATAGATAGTGTTTTGGTTTTGCATAACCTCCAACTGTCCTGACTAACCCTCTGCTGTCCCACTTTTTTGCTGCTGTTTCTCTCTCTTCCCATTTCCCCTTTTGTTCACAGCTGTTGCTGCAAACAGAGCATAATGTAAAGGAAATTTGCTCTCAATTAACTCAGCGGGGAGAGAAGAGAAGAGGAGGCAGAATCTCTTTCTTCCCAGGAGGCTTAGGCAAAAGCAAACTGCCACAGCCTCTCTTGGCTCATCTGTTCTTCCTTACTAATAACTCTGGCATCTTGACCACATTCTCAGCCACACGTGTCCTGGTTTTCACATGCAAAATGCTGGAGCCTATGGTTTTATCATGTCCTCGCTGTCTCCCTCCCCGCCTCCCTATTTGAACTGAAATATAGGATTGGCTGCTTTATATTTTAATTATTCATCCCTCACCTCCTTCCAGCGTTTAGATTTGACCAGGAGGGAGGGCAGTTGATCTGACCTTTGGCTTGCATTTGTTAAGTGCCGGGTTCCCCATTCATTTACTAAGTTCAACAGTTATTAATCACCAAGCGGTCCCAGGAGACGGCAGGGCTTTGGCGGAAGGAGCTGGAGTGTTCTTTTAGCTGATGTGTAGAAACCAATTGACTTTCTTCTAAGTGCTCTTGTGATGGATGGTTTTGGTGGTTCCATAGGAACTGGGTCTGCAGAAATACAATGCAAATAACATTTCAACTGAGGTTTGAAAACCTGTGGTCTCAGTTGCAAAAAGCAGACGGTAGAATTGTTGAGGCGGTATAACTGGAATGGGTTTGCTTAATTTCTTTCTTACGTGCCTGTTCTAGGTTTCTCCTATTGCAGAGCATAGGATGGGTGCAGAGCATCACTTGGGTGAAATAATAAGAGTTTGGGCACATATTTTTGGGCACACTACTTCCAACATACAGGTTACCACTTATTCTTAGGTAAGTATGTTTAGGATCATACCCCAAGGATGTTTATTATTCACATGGTTTTCTGAAGGCAAGTATTTAACAGCATTCTTGCAATCTCCCAAGAGCACAAAAACCATGAAGAGTTGACCATAATAACTCTTGCTTGAAGGGGTTTCTACAACTTTGTTTTAACCACAAGTTGTATTATAGTGTACTTTTTTTTCCTTCTTTTTACTTGTCTAGCTTACATCTCCCCCTCTCTTGCCCTTGTTTTCTTGGTCAGGACCTTAGAAACCAGCTGGAGAAAACTCATGACGAAATGATTGAAAAAGAGAAGGCAATGGAGCATCATTACAGTGTCCTCTTGAGCGAATGCAATCAGAAATTGCAGAACCAGGAATTGGTCATCACACGCCTCACAGACAGCATCACTCAGAAGGATGAGTTACTCCAGGTAGCTAAAGTGAAAGATGGGATGTTTTAATGGATGTTGTTGCAGGACAGAGT